ATGTCATATGATAAACACGTGCATCTGTGGTATTGTGTGGCAAACGCTGCCCCAACCTCATGCGTTTATGGCAAGCGTGTGCAGTATTGCCGCTGTCTATAATGGAGTGCCAATACGGCTTCTGGCACAGTGTGTGCCAGAACGTCGTCAGGTCCTGGGTGCATTGAGCCTTGTGCAACGCTTGTCTGAGTGAGCTCATGGGCATCTCTTGTCTGCCACAGTAGACATCAACCAGAGTGACGCACACAACAGTTGGCAGGAGAAGACGAGGTGCCCTGCTAATTCTATGTTTTTTGCAAGGCAATAGAGAGGGAGTTAGAGCGGGGAGGGGCTGAGGAGGAGGAAGAGGATGAGGATGCCCCAATAGTGGAGAACAACTCCTTCCTTTCTTACGATGAGGTAGACAAGGGTGCTACTCTAGACATGCAAGCATTCTAGAGTGTTTGTAATGAGATGCTAGAATTGGACACATCTACTAGAAATATGTTGTTGTAGTACCTTCGAACTATAGTGGAAACGGAGTGCTGAATGAGACTTGTGAACACTGAATTTTTCAGAGTTGTCATCTCTGGAACACTGAAAGATCAGAGTAGGCAAGTTTTTGGATAATGGCCCCTCAGACTTGGAAAAAAAAAATGGGTTCAGCCCAGAGTGCCTTATTTTGAAATGCCAGCCCTTCGTGCGGGCATTGGGCAAGCATAAACATCTAAACTTGTGCATCTCAATCCATTCCATCACTAACAATATGTATACTCGTGCTTTCAGACGTACTGACGACGAAGGTTGGCGAAATGATGGCAAAGATGGAGGCCATGGCCCTCGAGCTTTCTGTGTTGAAAGGGGAAAACGTGAGCATTCGCTAGACGCGTGGTGTGACGCGTCAGGAGTCGCCAGTTACCATGGACGAAGATCGTGCGAGCGCGCATCAACCGCAGGCAACGTCAGTGACACGTGACGACAGTTTGAGCGAGCGACGGGTAGTTGTGAAGATAAAACATGCCATGCCCCCGCCGCTCAACCCCCTAGAGAAACACACCACGCTGAGTGGGTGGCTGTTCACCATGGAACTGTTCTTCAATGCCGCCGACGTCAACGACGATGAGACACGCGTCAAGTTGGTGGTGTCTTTATTATGCGGACCTGCATTAAGTTGGTGGCGACAGTACGTGACGTTACGAGGGACTCCAGCAGACCGGCAACAGACGATGGACGGGGAGCGATGATTGGCTTCAACTCCTACAGGATCCTTGTTTAGTGTGGCCGAAATCCTTATCTGGCAACAGTGGGTGCACTGCTTCACCGGCGCTTCAAGCATGTATACGCATATGAAAACGCTTGTCTGAAGCTGCACGGATGGCGTCAACTACGTTTTGTGCTGGATTACACGTAATCTTTCCTCGTCATCTGCGACGAAATCGGCGATCTACACAAGACAGAGAAGACAAGTCGATACATCCTAGTGCTGAATCGAAGGTCCAGCGCGAAATTCGCATGCGCCGCCCGACGACGTTCATGGAGGTGCAGCAGGTCGCAGAAGCGTGGGACGAAAACAGTGTATGGCCGAGGAAGAATTTCCGGGAGGGAAGTAGTTTTCGAGGGAAGAACAGTTACCCATCCATCAACGGCGTGGCGGCACCGTCAGATAACAGATTTTCTGGCCGGTGTTGATCAACTGAAAACTTTCCTCATGACACCACCCGTTCTTCGTATCGCCGACCCCAACCGCCCATACGAACTGGTTATGGACGCAAGCGACATCGCCGTTGGCGCGGTACTGTTACACGACTTTGGCGAAGGCCTGCAGCCGCTCACCTACGACTCGCGAAAACTCCAAGGCGCTGAATGGAATTACCCGGTTCACGACAAGGAAATGCACGCGATCGTCAATGCTTTCAAGACCTAGCGCTGCTACATATCCGGTGCCAACATTACTGTCCAAACAGACCACAAGTCCCTATAGTTCCTCTGAGCCCAACCGACCCTCAATCCACGACGTGCAGCAATATGTGGCCTCATGTCCCACCTGCCAACTGATGAATTTGTCTTGCCAAAAGCCAGCTGGATTGGTGCAACCGTTAGAACCGTCCACCAAGCCCTGGACACACGTATCTATGGACTTCGTGACAGGACTGTTAGCCGGGGCATCCCAAAATGACCGACTCACGAAAATGGCTCATTTCACGCCATGCTGAACGACGATCATAGCCGAGCAAACTGCCAAGCTGTTCATCTCAACCGTCGTTCGCCTGCACGGAATCCCGAAGGCGATCATGAGCGATCGTGCCCCCCGATTCACGTCCAAATTCTGGACGAAAATGTGGGAAAAGTACGGTACACGCCTCCATCTGTCCACGGCTTACCATCCACTGACCGACGGTCCAACTGAACGGACAAATCAGACCATTGAGCAACTGATACGGACAACCTGTACCGACCCGACCCAATGGGAAGATTCCCTTCCCCTGATCGAGTTCGCGTATAACAACGCCCCTTCGTCAGCGACTGCCCAATTACCGTTCTACCTGAATTACGGTCCAAAACTCCACGACCCCCACTACACCGTTAATTGAGAGCCCTGCCCCACGATCGTAAAAGTTCGTCAAGGACTTACAGACTGCACAGAAAAACGCTACCGAGGCCATTTCAAAAGCCAACCTTACAGCCAAACGGTACGCGGACAGACATCAACGGGATTTACCCTTGTTTCCTGGGCAACTAGTCCTTCTGGACACCAAGAGCTTGGGGTTGAGTTTACCACATAGACTCCGTCCGAGATTTTGTGGACCCTTCCGCATTGTCCGAATGGTGACACCTGTCACCGCCAAGCTACTACTCCTGGATGACTGGGGTATCCACGATTCATTCCACGTCAGTCTCCTTCGACAATTCTTTGCAAACACGGCTGATCTCGACCGTCAACGACTCTATCCTTCGATCAGACCCGTCCCTGAGCCAATCGCTGAACCACAGCAAATCCTTTCCCACCGAATCCGACAAGACCAAGGTCAACGGGTTTTGGAATTCCTGGTTCGATGGGTTGACCGTACGTGCGACGACGACATGTGGGTCCCAGCTGCTACCCTCGACAACCACCCATTGGTGCAGGTCTATTTACACGATCGGGCTGCCCCAAATGTGGGTAGTCTCGTCTAGGAGGGGGGAAGGTGTAAGGAAAATCCTTTTTCCTTATCGAGCCCCGCTATCATCGAGTAGAGCCTTGACCTTCGGAAGTCCAGGCTCGGCCTGACAATTCAGATTCGAACTACGTTCGAGACTCCAAGCCTGCGCGCGGCGTCGCGTCCGACACTTCCGAGTCCCGAGGCGCCCCGAACCACCTCGCGTGTGTTTCGTAGCCTTCCTCGAGGCTTTCTTGCAAGGCTAGGTGTGCTTGTATTTAGCCCCGTGCTCCATTTGTACTAGACAAACTTTAATCACGACCTCACTATTGCATTACTCGACTCATATCCGGAGATTCTCATAACACTAACCACTGATTGGCTACGTCTGCTTTCCCCACGGAATTTGCGCGCACGATTCATCCACCAGACCGGGATGGACCACCTCCACGGACCTCTCGCTAAAAAGGTAATTTTCCTTAAAGTAGAGAAATAGAGAGCTGTTTTTTATGGCGGAGTTCAAGAATTCCTGATTCCGTCCACATAACGGATTAGGTTCCATGCGATTGCTTAATATTACGGGTTACTTTCTTTTGATTCCGTCCTACCTGTTTTTAACTCCGCCTTCCCCCCACCTAACCTATTCCATGCCAAGCCTGCACTGACTTCCCTACCTGCTGTTTTGTAGGTAGGCGAGCAGGAAGATTTTTAGCTCTCCCGATGTCTCCTAAGGCATAGCAGGAGCGGGAAACATCTCACACCCTGAATGTTTCACCCCCGCACTTCTGAGCCGTGGCGAAGGCTCTCAGTCTGTGAGGACAGTCATATAACACGATCAACGAGTCCGTATGCTAACGGGTAGTTTACCGCTGATTCCGTCCATAACGGGTTATTCTGGGCCGATCTCTTCCCGTAACGGAATCCCCTAGCGATAGGCCTGCATTTCCATCAGCCCCCGGTCAGCCGAAAGTTGCCAGCGCATCCAATAGGAGGTGGTTGTGATGGGGTGCAGTGCGAGGGAGCAAGGTGCCCAGATGTTTTTTCCTTCATTCCCCAGAAAACACGAACTTTCGTTTGTAGGTGGTTCGCCTTTGACCTGCTGGTTCCAACCAAGGGTCATTCGGCACATTCGAGTCATGCCTCCCTCGAATGCAAGCGCAGTACAACTTTCATGCTATGCGACAACCCTTTATTATGGGGGCAAACTCAAATCAAAATTACATCTCCTTGCGCTCCCAGCCAAACCTTGCCCCGACCTCCCGCCCTAACGCATGCGGGCATGCGCGCAGGCACAGATTTCCCCCCACCCACACCCTCCCCCCCAACGCCCCTGTACTCTCACCCATCTGCCAGGTTCATCCATCCATCCTGGCCTGGGCTAATTTTCTAGCCACAGTCTGCCGATATTACCCAGAACTGTTCATTCATATCCGCCCGCGTAGCACCTGCGCGCTCCCAGGGTTCAGGGGTGGGCAAAGCATTTAGTTTGAGGGTTACTCGGACCATTAAACCTTGCAGTCTGTGAGCTGTGCTAAAAGTTCGGGTTTGGTCCCAAAAGCCTGACACCACCTGACAGTTTGTGTCCAACAAACTAATCTCCTGGAGTCAAGAGTTGAAGCGATTAGGAGACGGTATGGTTGCACGCCGGGTAGCACCTGCAAGATATCCAAATTTGGAAAATTTCCAGCCCCGGGTTCCGCGATCGTTTTGAAACCATTGCGGGCATCTATCCACCCAGATACAGCAAGTTCAGATCCTGGTAGATGGCCAGAATGGAAGAGTTGCATCCACCCCAGCCCACACCTCCTCCCCCCCACCCCCCCCCAGCTGCTCCTCCTCGCTTCTACCTGCTGCTCCACGTTTGTGTCTGCTCTGCTAGTGTACCCTTCGTCCAGGGAGGCTGTTAGGGACAGCTATGTGGCCTACGCTCTACGAACAGCGATTTTTCTTCCGCACTACGTCTTACACGAAGCGCCGCGTCGTTGCGTTTCGTCACTACATATTGGTTCCTTCCAATCGACTTATTATTCTGGTTCTATTGCCCCGGTTTACCTTAAGGGCGGCTTTCCGTCGGTAAATTACAGGCTGACTCCACCTCGCAGGACCGTTATGTCCTTCCCTTACACCTGAACTGGCATTCTCGATAGTACTAAGCGAGCCACGTCAATGCACGCCTGATAGTCACTAATAGTTCCCGTAAGCCGCTTTCACTTCATTCTTGTCCTAATCTTTCGCACCATTTCGTCACGCGACATTCCTCTGCATCGTCGAATCTCCAGCTTCGCGAGAACATTTTCACTGCGTTAGGGTTTCTCACGCAGACTCGCTGCGACTCTAACGTCAGCGTGAAGCGCGCTGCGACTCGCAGCGAACGGGCTGAGGACGATTGGTGCTCAGCTGCAAAGAACTGCGGAGCGCTGCGGAGCTTAGTGACTGGCTGTACAGTAGCTCGTAGTTACTTCGAAGGTTCGCGATGGTGGAGGGGCCGAGGCGCGAGGCGGGTGAGCAGCGGAGAGAGCTCGACGACTCGACGTCTGGCGACGACGGACAGAGCCTGCTAGGCCGACCCGGGTCAGACGCCGTCACTTGCGGCTGCATTCCCTCGATTGGCGGTGGCGGCGCGGCGAGGGACGTCGCGAGGGATGCTGACCTGGACTCCGCAAGAGGCGGCGCGAGAGACGGCGGATCCGCCGAGATGTCTGATTCGGACCCCCCGACGCGGGGTCGCTTCGAGGCAGCACCTGACGACTCCGAGACTCTCAGAACAAGCGCGCCGAGCCGCCAGGCATCTGCGGCTCTGCCCACCGCACGCGCGGTCTCATCGTCCGCTCAATCGCAACCGTTGAGTGATGCGCGGAATGATCCGACGAATGATGGCTGCTCTATAGTAGGCGTCGAGGCAGCGACGTCTCCGCGCGACGAAGGTGTTTCGCCGTCGAAATCCGTAGCGAAGCTTCCTCGAACGTCCGTTGCGGAGGTGCGCCCATTGCCGAATCATCTGGTTTCTTTTAACACCTCAGCGGGTGTGGGTGACGTCTGTAGGTGTTACAGCGTCCCTCTCGTTCCCTGTCGTCATGCCTGTCGCATAGTCGCCTCGTTACAGTGTCGCCATCACTTGACGTGACGTCCCTCTCGTTCGCTGTCGCCTCACGTTATGCTTTCCGCCTGCCGCATAGTCGCCCTTACCATGCTCTCGCATTTTTTCGCCCTCCAGCTACCTCTCGCTACATCAGCCTCAACGCGCCGTTCCGCTTCCCTGCTTTACCTCCCCATCCCCCCCCCCCCCTCCCCTTCCCCCTCCCGCCCTCCCCTCCCCTCTCCCTCCTCTTCCTCCTCCCCGCTTCCCCTTCCCCTTCTCTCTTCCCCTCAGCTCTCCAGCACCGTCTACTGCTACATCAGCCACCATGCCTTCGTGCAGCAGCTGCTCTGCACGTGCTGCTCCCACCACTCGGGCCACTGTGCTGCCAGCCGCTGTGACTGTAACGGGCGTGAGTGTAGCGGTAGCAGCAGCGCAGGGCACCCCGGCAGTGGCGGCAGCAGCAGCGGTGGGGCGGAGTGGACGGAGGTGGCGACTGACAGGCTGAGCATCGTGGCGCATCTGACCGCCTTCTCCATCATAGGGGTGAGCTGATGGGCACGTGGGGCATTGGACATGCAGTGAGCATCAGTTGTGCATTCCGCACTGAGCACCCAGCATTGTGACACATTTGACCGCCTTCTCCATGCAGTGGCGAGCTGAATGCATGGAAGATGGAAGATGGATGATGGAGAGTGGCCTGAGGTGCCGCATGCAAGGCATTATGCGTCTATCACTTTCCCCTTTCGCGCGCTCTCCTGAATCCTTCACTCGCCTTCTCAGATCGCTGTGCAAGACAACATGGACCTGTTGTTCGGGCCTGATGTGCCACACATGGTGCATGGAACATTCTTCATCCCCTCCCCTCCCCTCCCCTCCCCTCCCCTCCCCTCTCGTCCCCCCCCTCCCCGTTCGCAGATTGCCATACAGTACGGCATGGACCTGCTGTTCGGGCCTGAGGTGGCGCATGTGACTAGCGACGAGCAGGCCGTATTCATCGACCTGCCTGCCAACATGGTGAGCAGCTGCCACCCTCTCTCACTTGCTTTCGGGCTTGTCCAACGCCTGTGGGTCATCACTCCCCTCCCTCAATCACTACCTTCTGATTCCCTTTGCAGCCGTCCACACGCTGCTCATCAGACGCTAGCCTCTACCCCTTTCCCCGCATCCCACCCTCCCTCACCTCCTTTGCATTCCTCATCAGCTCGCCTGCTTCCTCCTCGCCATGGGCGAGGGATTCTCCTCTCCCTCCTCCCTCAATCCTTCTCAAGCACTACCATCTGTCCCTGCTCCCACATCTCCCCCCCTTTCTCAGCTCGGCTGCTTCCTCCTGGGCATGTGCGGGGTGGTCTTCCTGCCGTCGCTCCTCGCCCACTCGCGCCACCTCGCCATCGGTCTCATGGTGGGGCTGTGCGGCAGCATCTCCACCTTCGCCACGTGGAACCAGCGCATGGTCGCCATTGCCACTGCTGGCCTCTGGGTGCGGGCGCTGTTCGGCTACTTCGCAGGTGGGTGACTGCACTATGTCAAGCTTTCAAGCTTTTAGTGCACCCGTCTTGCAGCTAGTCACGTAGCCAGCCAGCCCTGGGTCCGCCTGTACGGCAGCATTTCCCCCTTGCCTCCTGGAACCAGCACAAGGCCTCCATTGCTGCCGCTGTATGGGAATGGTCAGTGGCTGGCTGCTTCACAGTTCAGAGCTTTTTTTGTTTCCACGAAAAGAGGATAGTAAAGCATTGTGTGCTTTAAAAAGTTATATGATTTGAGCAATTAGATCATTTTTTCCTCAAATGCGTCTCAAAATGTGCTGTTCCTTCCACATGCACCTTCTCCTGTCCGTCCTCCCATCCCCCAGGTTCCGTCCTTCCTATCATCTCCCTGGTTGTGGGAGCAGACACAGCTCACAACATCCGTGCCCTCCGCACCCGCTTCTCCCCCAACTCCTCCCATGCCCCTCCTCTTCTCCCAACCACCTCCTCCACCACAACCGCTCTCCAACCCTCTCCTTCCAACCCCGCCTCCCCCTCACCTTCCCCCGCCCTCCCTCTCTCCTCCCCCGCTTCCACACGTCGCCACCTGATGCCCGTGCTGCTGTGCGCCATGTTCCTCTGGGCTGCTGCCATCACAGGCGCCCTGCTCGCCTCCAACAACGTCAGCCTGCAGACCTTTGCCCTCGCGTGTGCGCTCGCTCCCCTCGGCACATGCCTGCGCTGGTGGCTGCTGCGATTCAACGGGGCTGGCTTGGGGTTGCGAGCTAGTGGGGTGCTAGGGAGAGTGAAGGGGTCGAGTGGGGCAGGAAGAGGAAGAGGTGGTGGGGGAAAAGGGGAGGGAGGGGCGGTGGCGTGGTTGCCCTGGGGGACGCTTGCAGCCAATGTGGGGGCTTCTGCTGTGGAGGCTGCTATATCTGTTGTGTACCTGGCGGTATGTGGCTCTGTGGATGGATGACTGACAGCACATTCTTGTTCTGCACTTCACTGTCTTCATCGTGCACTATCTGATATGCATCTGCTCCCTACGATTGTTGCACTGCTCATGTCGCGTTTGCTCGCAGGTCAAGTCCCATACATCCCAAGTCATGGTGGGGGGCGTGCAACTCGGATTCCTCACAGGCCTCAGCACAGTTTCCATGTTCTCCCTCGAAATACTGTATTTCCATTTCACCCTCGGAACGCCCTGGCGTTCCTATGTTTACCTCCTTGTTACTGTTCTTCCGTCGTTTGTTATAGGCCTGCTGGTGTACTCTGTCCCTGTGTGGGTGATGGGCTGGGATTCTTTGTATAACCACGTGTAGACCTAGGCCTATTTTATCAGAGTAATTTACTCTTTCTCTGAAAATCAGAGTCGTTTTTGAAAGCTACTCTAGGGGCCCTGAGTAAAAAAAATGATTTTACTCAGATTTTATCCGAGTAAACCTTCGTACCACTCCGATGGTCAGTGTATAGTGGGAATACCTGTGAAATTGTCCTCGCCACCTGTACCTAGCCGTGCCCCTGTGCCTTGCAGAACAGGTCAAGTCACGCACACCAGAGAAATCATCGTTTGGCCAGTGCTCGAGGCTGTGTTAGGGGGCTGTCAAACATATGTATAACTCATATTTGTATAGACTGTATAGGGTCACCTCTTAGAGGGTACAACACTCTTAGGTATATACCCTTGTTCTCTCTCTCTCTATCAAAACACTTGTTCAGTTTTTCTTCTCGACATGGTATCATCCGTAGGTTCGACCCCCCCCCACCTACCGCTTCCGCCCGTGCCTCCTAGGCCCCGTCGTGCTTTCCCCTAGGCCCCGTCGCGCCGCCCCCACCTAGGCCCCGTCGCGCCCCTCCTGGCCCCCCCGCCGCGCCTCCTAGCCTGTCGCGCCCCTCCTGGGTCCCCGTCGTGCCTCCTAACCAGTCGCGCCCCTCCTGGGCCCCTGTCGTGCCCCCTAGCCCGTCGCGCCCCTCCTGGGCCCCTGCCGCGCCTCCTAGCCCGTCGTGCCCCTCCTGGGCCCCTCGTGCCTCCTAGGCCCCGTCGCACCTCTCCTGGGCCCCGTGTGCCTCCTAGCCCGTCGCGCCCCTCCTGGGCCCCTGTAGCGCCTCCTAGCCCGTCGCGCCCCTCCTGGGCCCCTGTCGCGCCTCCTAGCCCGTCGCGCCCCTCCTGGGCCCCTGTCGCACCTCCTAGCTCGTCGCGCCCCTTCCGGGCCCCTCGTGCCTCCTGGCACCCGTCGCGCCTGCCTGGCCCTGTCGCGCCTCCTGGCCCCGCCGCCCCTGCCTGGCCCCGCCGCGCCTGCCTAGCCCCGCCGCGCCTGCCTGGCCCTGACGCACCAAGTCTGACTGTGTCAGAGTGATGGTGCGTGCTGCTCTGTCCCTAGAGATCTGCAAGCCAAGGTAGCGACGCAGCTCTCCAAGGTCAGTGCAGGTATGTCTCTTCAGCAGCTCGGCCTTAACGGAGGCCACTGCGTGAAGGCCGAGCTGCTGAAGCGACATACCTGCACTGACTACCCGCTCGTGGAGAGCTACCCGCTCCTCTCCTGTTGCCCAGTCCAGCTGTGAGGCTGAGATCTACGCCGGTGCCATGGCAGCACAGGAGCTCCGCCGGCTGACCATCTTGCTCACTGACTTTGGTGAGCGGCCTAGCTCTGCCCCGGTCCTGTACGCTGACAACAGGGCCATGATCCTCCTGTGTCAGGAGCCTCGACTCGAGGGCAGAGCGAAGCACATCCAGCTGCGGTACTTCCTCCTGCGTGAGCTCCAGCAGCGCCGCCAGGCGCACGGAGTACACTTGGCATCCGGTGCCAACACAGCTGATATCTTTACGCAGGCGCTTGCGCCTAAAGATCATCAGCGGCACTCTGTACAGCTAGGTCTCGTTCCTGTAGCCTCTCACTTGCTAGGGCCTTGACCTTGTACTGTCCTTTACATATATATTTTACCCTAACTGGCCTTGTGGCCTCTCCCAGTGGCTGGACTAGTAGTGCCGCCCTGGTCTTGCTCTTGTCTTGTCTGTACTCCTTTGACTGGTCTTTAGACCCTTGCCTCAGAGGCTGGACAAGTAGTGCCGCCCTGAGCTGCTTCTTTCCTTGTTAGGCACTGCCCCTATATAGTCTAGGGGGTGTGTCAAATGTAACTTAGGTCGTTACTGTAGACTATACTGGATTGTGCCTTAGAGGGTACAACACCTAAGTCTATATATCCTTGTACACACACATTCTAGTTCAATCATTTTCTTTCTGATAACAACACCCTAGTCTATATACCCTTGTACTCACACATTCTAGTTTACTTATTCATTCTGATTAAGGGCCACTCAACGCCCTCACAAGCCTTCAAGCACAAATGGCACGTGATTTTGGTGAAGGGACAATTGGCCCCTGTCGAGAAGAAAAACTGAACAAGTGTTTTGATAGAGAGAGAGAACAAGGGTATATACCTAAGAGTGTTGTACCCTCTAAGAGGTGACCCTATACAGTTTATACAAATATGAGTTATACATATGTTTGACACACCCCCTACACTGCATAGGGGCAAATCCTGAACAAGCAGCTCAGGGCGGCACTACTAGTCCAGCCACTGAGACAAGGGTCTAAAGACCAGTCAAAAGGAGTACAGGCAAGACAATAACAAGACCAAGGCGGCACTACTAGTCCAGCCACTGGGAGAGGACACAAGTCCAGTCTGAGTACATATATAGATATATATAGGACAGTACAAAGTCAAGGTCCTAGCAAGTGAGAGGCTACAGGAACTAGACCGAGCTGTACACAGTGCCGCTGATGATCTTTAGGCGCAAGCGCCTTCATAAAGATATCAGCTGTGTTGGCACCAGAGGCCAAGTGAACAACGCGGGCCTGGCTGCGCTGCTGTAGCTCGCGCAGGAGGAAGTATCGCAGCTGGGTGTGCTTCGCTCTACCCTCAAATCGAGGCTCCTGACACAGGAGTATCATGGCCCTCTTGTCAGCGTACAGGACCGGGGCAGAGCTAGGCCGCTCACCTAAGTCTGTGAGCAAGAAGAACAGCCAGCGGAGCTCCTGTGCTGCCATGACACCAGCGTAGATCTCAGCCTCACAGCTCGACTGAGCAACAGACGACGAGCGAGTCGATCTCCAAGAGATAGCACCCGAACCAAGGCTAAAGCAGTAGCCCTGCGACGACCCGAGCGTCTCAGAGTCGTCTGCCCAAGAAGCGTCTGTGTGCCCAGTGAGGACCTCTGGCCTGCGTCCTCCTAACACTAACCCCATGCCTGATGTACTTGCTAGATATCGCAAAACCCTCTAAGCGGCCGACCAGTGCTGTGGTCGGTGTCTGCCAGTGGCCACAAAGCGAGCCAGGATGCTGAGAGGGTATGCGAGATCTGGGCGAGTGCAGGTCATCAGGTACATGAGGCAACCCACGAGCTCTGCGTAGGGGCTGCTGGGCTCTACTGACTCCTCAAGAACAGGAGCGGAAAGCCCGTGGTCTACAGGTAGAGGTGTGGGCTGTGCAGAGGAGAACTGAAGACCGAACCTCTGAAGGACCTGACGCACCAAGTGTGACTGTGTCAGAGTGATGGTGCGTGCTGCTCTGTCCCTAGAGATCTGCAAGCCAAGGTAGCGACGCAGCTCTCCAAGGTCAGTGCAGGTATGTCTCTTCAGCAGCTCGGCCTTCACGGAGGCCAGTGCGTCTTGTCTGCTGTGGCGAAGACCAAGTCGTCTACGTAAACAAGGATGTAGAACGGGGTCTGGCCAGCATGAACGAAGAGCGAGGGGTCTGCAGAGGACGGAAAGAACTGCAGATCAGCAAGCGTAGCACGCAGCGTGTCGTGCCACTCACGGGGAGCCTGCCGCATGCCGTAGACAGGGCGCCACAGGAGCCACTGGGTCCCAGGAGGGAAGGTACCAGTGAAGCCCTGAGGGTGGCGCAGGTAGACGTGCTCGTGTAGACTGCCCTGAAGAAACGCAGTGGAGAAGTTGACGGAGTGAAGCTCGTAGTCACGCTGAGCTGCTAGGTGTAGCAGCACCCGAAGAGTAGTCATCTTTGGGGTCGGAGCGAAGGTCTGGAAAAACTCCACCCCCTCACGCTGACTGAAACCTCTAGCCACATAGCGCGCCTTGAACACAGGCGGGTCTCCAGGAGGGCGCTCCACCTTGAAGAGCTAGCGGCCATCGACTACGTTCACCCCAGGTGGGGGAACTGCGTCGACGTAGGTGCCGGTGGATCTCCAAGATGCCATCTCCTGCTCCATGGCAGCTATCCTCTGACAGGCCCAGGGTCCCGAGACCGCCTCAGCGTAGGTGCAAGGGGTCGGGATGTCGAAAGCGTCGGGGTCACCCGCAGGGACTAGAAGCATGGAACAGAGATGGGGAGCAGCATCGAACAGGAAAGCAAGCTCGTACTGGCGGTCCTCCAGGAACCCCGACAGACGGAGGACAGGCAGGGTCAGAGACCAGAGCGGTGGCGTAGTCAAGGTGGCAGGTAGAGGCAAAGTCAGCGGCCGCAGCGACAAGGGCGTCAAGGCTCGAAATCGGAACAGACGGGTCGGTAACGAGAGAGGCAAGGACCCGAGGAACAAGGGGGCACGTGGCACGCAGGTAGTCAGACAGAGGGGGGGGGAGCAACGACAAGGGAGAATGGAGGGGGCGACGGTAGAAGGGGAGGACGAGATGCGTGGGAACGAAGCAACATAGGGTGAGAGCGCGAGATAGGGGAGACAGGTCGAGCACGGGAGGGACGGCGAGACCAGACGTGAGACGGAGGAGTCGGGTCAGGAGACAGAGGAGGGGACACAATAGGGGAATGGGCCGGAGACGAGTCCGGAGGAGGGAACACAGGGCCGTAGACAGGAGGAGGAGGAGGAACAGGCATGGGGTCAGGGGACGGAAGGCCAAGCAGGCGAAGAGCGGATACCGGCGGGGACTGCTGCGGCGGCGGTGTGACACCGACAGTGGGACCGCAAGCTGCCTGGAGGCTACCTCCAGAACACTCCACGCCAGCACCCCCAGAAGGAACACCCCCAGAGCGCAGAACCCCTCGAGCACCGGTACCACCCCCAGGCCCGTCGGGACAAGCCACGACAGGAGTCCAAGGACTAGTACCCACCCCAACTCCAGCACCCCCAGAGGCAACGAACTGCTGCGGCGACAGCTGCGGCGGCGGCGGCTGCAACGACGGCTGCGGCGGCGGCGTCGGCGGTAACGACGGCTGCGACAGCAGTGGCGACGGCGGCTGCGACAGCGGTGGCGACGGCGGCTGCGGATGCGGCGGAGGAGGAGACACTTGAGAAGGGGCAGGCGGCGAGGACTGCGCCTTAGGACCACTAGAGTCAGCAGACTCCTCAACCGGGACAACCGACGTAAGTGGGGTGACGTGGGACACACCAGAGGGGGTAGGACGGGGAGGGGGAGGAGGAGGGGCGGCGACGACCGGGGAAGGGGTGA